AAAGCCAAAATTCATTTCTTAGGTTTAATGCAAAAAAAAACAAGAAGTATTTATACAGTCTTGTCAGCCATGATGCTAGTGATCTGCACTGAACAATGAGAAGTGTCATTATCAGATAAAAGAGTGAATAAAAATAATTATCACATCTATCAAAATTGTAGAAAATAACATGTAAATAAATATCTTGATTCATTGCACACTAGCAAAACCCAGAAGATATTGGAATCAAAATTTCTTTTGTTCTCACAAACAAAAACTTGGTAATTTTAATGAGTTTTGGGGCTTGTGAATAGATTTTCATGTGTTTTTTGGATATATTTTTCTTGATGCAGTAATGAAAATTTTATATCTCAGTATTGTGTTCATATTTCATTGAAAATCCCAATGAATACAACACAATAAAAAATGGTTTGAATTCTGAGATTACAAATAATTCTTGACTTTTGTTCATCTTACTTTCTGCAGATCATTAATGCAGGGTGAACTTAGAATAAAGAATCAGTTTCTAACAGAATATAGGATGAAAGTTCAGTTTGTAGTGGAATGTAGGACTTTACTCCTACTTCATGTTGCTTAATGGTCAGAGATTTTTCAAAATGAGCAAATTGTGATAAAAAAGAACAGCATGAATAAACTGAATAAAAGTTAGGTTAAAAATTTATAATATAAATATAAAACATAATATAATCAATTGCTTTTAAATCAGAGTAATATTAAGAGCAACAGAGAATTGTGGAGAGTTATGACCACCTACATCCTATATTCCATAGAAGAAGATGATAACATTTCACTGTTAATTTGGTAATCATTATGTTAAGGCTGAGATTGACAAGAAACACTAAATTACACCATAAAGCATAATGTGGCAGGTCTTGAAAAAGACTGAATTCAATGTAAACAACTGTATAAGATCATCAAACAAAGCTTAAATAATACTGAATGTTAATAAAAGATATTAACAGAATTTGTGTCATGTTTTGTGATTATACATTGTATTTATCTGATGATTGTAAATAGTTTACTCCATACTACAAGAAACGTTGGCATAATATCTATTATTAGAAAGCTTTCATAAGGGAATCTTTAAATGTCAAACTTACCAATGCAAGGAAGATAACTCCATTATTAATGTGACAAAGAAAAAGCTTAGCATTTTATAAGATAATTCTTCTGTTGGTGATGCAATTATTTACCACTACAGATAATACATTGGAATAAAAACAGGTTTGAAAAGCTAAACATACATTTCCTATAAATTTTTCATGATACGTTAGTTATAAAATTCACAAGGCATAATCCATATTGATATTATAAATGTATTAATTTCTATTCTGACATTAATGCTTGCATTAATTCCTGGCCAATGCCAAAGTAAAAAAGGTAGAATGAGTGTGAAAATCTGATTGGACTTTATTCAAACCTTGTAAAACGTACAGTTTAATCATTGAAATTTCTATGTTAGCACCAAAAATATTTAGTTTAAGGTAAAAAATAAATAATGCTAAACAGAGGAATAAATAGAGTAGTGGTAAAGTCAGTGGGCAGAGATAAGAAAAGTCAAAACTTTGCTTCTAGATAGCAAATTCATAAAATAAAATAAAATACTGCTGTGATTAATGTTTACTTTTTCCTTATTGCAAGAATTTACCTTCACACTCTCCTGTCAATATGTAATCATCAGAGAGAATGGAAGTTCTTGATGTATTTTTTAAATAAATCTTATTAATGGGTTACATAAACATTTAGTTCCTAATATGAAATCATCTAATAGATAAATATGCTAATATCTAAATGAGAAAAAATGACATGGTTTAAATAGACACAAAACCAGAATTCTTCATACTTTTCAGAATAACAATCATTTTTCACAGCAGCATCAATGGAATGATAGAAATGTTGGAAATACTGGAAAAAGTGTTTTTTTAGGGGGTAAATCATAGGGAGGGGGCAGAGCAAAGGATACACTTGTCTATTCATGGTTAAGAAAAGAAGACAGCTGGGACATCTTGAGAAGTGTTACATTGAACGCCCAATCAGCTTCAAGTAGGATTAATCTCCAATACAGATAACAGATATCAACAGAAAAGTAACGGAACGCAGATTCTGTCTTTGGACACTCAGAGTTCTTCATCTTCTAAAAAACAATTTTTTTTGTTGTTTTCTTTTTCATATCTACCTATTTACCACACACAGTCTCTCTTTATCTAGTTTATTTGTTTTATCAAATTTTTTTAGCCTTTATCTCTCTCTCTCTCTCGCTTTCGCAACCTGCGTCACTGTGTTCATCTCTTTATCTATTTAGCCATCTTGTTTTTTGTCTTTCTTTCTGTGAATCTATTCCTTTCTTTTTGAAAGATTTCCTGTCTGTCTGTCAGATATTTTGTTTCCTTGTCTCTTTATACATCTGCCCGTTAATCTTTCTGAATGTTTATCTCTGCCTAATTCAATCTCATTTTCTGCTTCCTAGTCTTCACATCAAATCTTTTCAATATCCTCTCATTCCCCTTGAAATCTTTTTGCCTTTCATCTACCTGTCACTCACTCTGTCTTGTGTTTGCTCAGGCCATCTTTCTGTCAGTTTTTATTCCAAGAGTTATTCACAAGAGTCAGCTCACCTTTGTTTTTACTGCAATCTTTTGACCAATTCATTCTTCAATCTTCCCCACTTAATCTCATAATCATTTGGATTATTTTTCCTTTTTTGTAGATAGTTCTTCAAGATCTGTATTCCAAGACTTTTGGATAAAAAATATTCCAGAATCAGTCTAAAAAATTATGACAATACAAGTGGATCAATCAATCAATCAATCAATCCATAGCCTTAACTGAATTTTGATCTTAAATTTTCACTGTAAAATATTTGCCATCAAATTAAGTGCATTAACAAAAAAAGAGACTATGTTGAAAAAATAAATACTTGTTATGTAAAAAATGTTTTTTTTCATTATTAGGCTTATTGATGTACATAGTCCTGGGTATGATGATAAACTACATCTGGCAGAAAAATTAGGGTATTGGAGGTTTTGAGAAGAGTGGAACTACCTCTTAATTGCTGTTGTCCCCAGGTCCACCCCGACCTAGGGTGGTAGCACCTGTTAGGGTCCCAGCTATGGGCAAATAGTTAACTTTCAAACTGGGGTCAAAATACTATATAAGTATAAAAATACATTTTTATAGTAAACTAGCAGTAGATCCCGGCGTTGCCCGGGGATATAACAGTAAGAGATAGATCAAGTATCCACCATCATAAAGACTGAAAAATAAAATTGACAAAGATTATTGTTTAAGGTTGATGGACACGCATGTCTTAATTAGTTTTTTTTTTTACAAATTGGTCAAACCCAAACACAAACAAAAACATTGTTTTCAATCGTTATGAGTCTCCCGATTGAATAGAATAATTTTATAAACAATTGTCTTGTAAATGGAATTTTTAAAGCATTATGAATGTAAAAATAAAGAAAAAAGTGTGTAAGACAATAAGAAACACTACATACCAAAAAAAAAAGTGAAGTTTTGTTGAAATCGGTTGAAAAATGTAGGTAGCCTTTCTGTAATCTTTTAGTTTTACAATTTATGATTTTTACTTATTGAATACAGTAAAAAAAATTGCATATTTTGCTTGTGGTGATTCATAATTAGAATTCTGATTTGAATATATTTTCCACTCGTTGTTTCTAATACAAAAAATATTAACTTTATTTGGGTTTATTAATTATGATCTAACAAATCTTATTCATTTAGTAGCCTTTCTGTAATAATAATCTTTTACAATTTATGATTTTTACTTATTGAATACAGTAAAAAAATTGGACGCCATGTGTATTTAAAGTAGTTTCCCGTTCCGGTTATTATTTTTAGTTAGGTTAGGATGTTTAGATTTCATTATCTTTCCCTAAAGATAAAGAATTTATTTCGATGTTTGTATTCGTACAATCAGTAGAGATCGTTAGATTATTGTTTAAGGTTGACGGACATGCATGTCTTAATTAGTTTTTTTTATTTTTTATTTTTTATGAATTGGTCAAACCCAAACTCAAACAAAAAAAATGTTGTTTCGAGTCTGTTCTTTTGTGATAAAATTGTCCAACATTCACTGCCATATATGGAACTAAATCTTATACAGATCTGCAGCATCCTTTTCTCCATTGTCATTGTTAGTTCATGATCCCCAAATAAATTAATCATTTTCTGAAAAGTAGTTTTCACTATTTCCCTGATGCATTCAAATATAATATTTTCTGTTATCTATTAACAAATAAAAATATTATATAAGTATCCAAGATTTATCCATTCAAATTCATGAATTTATGAATCATTCAAATCTTTATGTTTTGCCAGAGAAAAACTTTACTATGGTCATTAGAAATTAACACAGATCAGAACTAATTGCCTGGCAAAACTGCATTTAATTATAAATTTAATGTAATATTCACAAGATAGATGTTTTGTTTTTCAACTCAATGTTTGAAATCAAGATATTCTCAAGTGTTTCTTACTGAATTTTGAATAAACAGAAAGAGTCAAACATTTTTGGTTAATATGGACAAAAGTTAGTGAGTTTCATTGGTTTTATATTGCAAACAGCTCCAAAGTTTCCTCATGAGAAAAGTCCATAGAAGAATTAATGATTCTTACAAATCATATTAATGTGTAATAGAAGTCATGCCGTGCAGGAATGTCTACATTCATATTTCTCCATTAAGCAAACATGTTTATGACCAGAGATATTAATACAGTTGCCCATAGTTGTAGTGTGATACTTGGTAACTTATCAAATGCTTTATATACTCCCAATAACAGATAACAGCTAGATGAATTGCTTTTCACACTTGCTGGCATCCATAAAACCAGACAATATCCTCAACCTGATATGTATCAAGGTTTTCAGGTATCAGGGATGAATTTTGGGGATGCACAGCCAATTTGAATGGGAAAGCTAAAAGGTGGCAACAATCATAATCTGAGATACAGGCAAAGGATAAGAAAGGGGAGTAAAATTAAGGTAGACGGAAAAGAATGACAGGAGGTGAGAACAAGCAGACATGAATAAAGAGGGAATGAAGAAGAGAGAAACAGTTCTCCGCAATTGACAGGATTAGATAATGAAAGCCAGATTTAGATACAGAGCCAAGCAGCTGATAATGCAGTTTGAATATTAAGGCAATTTTTAGTCTCTTTCTAACTGTATAGATTATGTAACGAGAAGCCTTTCTTTATCCTGAATGGACTTGATGAATCTAAAGTAGTCCAGACATAACTAAAACATTTGATGAGACTCCCAGTCACCCACCTGACAAAATTCAACTGGGAATATTAAGAAAAAATACTTTTGCTGCATTTATAAAACATTTAATGTTATTAATGTACATATCCAGAGTTAAGCAAGAAAAAAAGATCTTTAAATAAAACATGACAAGAAGAGGAAAAAAAATAATTTTAATAATATGATTGTAATTTACAAGCTAATCATTAGCCAACAAGACAGCTCACCTTCACCTATAAAATCCAGTGGATATTTCTTAGCCATTTTAGTGGGATGGAATTGGGTTTTATATGCCATCAAATATGCTAATTTATATAGAAATAACAAATTTTGTCCATCATAAATGTTATGATAGACAAAATTTGTCATTTCTATATAAATTACTTGTAGTAATTGTAGTAAAATTACTGGTAGTCAAGATGATTTTATGATATCATCATTTTGACTACAAGTAAAAATAATATTAACAACAGATATTAAATTTTCTTTAATAAAATTATGGAAAGAGAGCAAAAAGTAAAACTAGCAAAAAGTAAAAACTAAAAGTAAACTAGGTTTTGTCCTTTTGCAGGGTACTATAGGCCTAATCCTATTTGTAGGGTACTATAGACCTCATCATATTCATAGGGTACTGTAGATCTAACTAAATCAAGGGTGGTATAAAGTCCCAGATTTTGCAAATTTAAATATTATCAAAATATTTCATAATTAAGATAACTATATATAAAAATTTTACTTCTGACATTTTTGTGAAAATCAAGGACTGAACAAGGGTTTTTTTTATGATGACAAACCCAAATACAACAATTTAAAAAAAAGCACTTGATGAAAGAATTTAGAAATTGGCATGTTTTAGGAATTAGTTCAAGATCTGTTATGTCAATAATGTCTGGTAAGTCAAGAGGATAAGTCATTAATTCTGCAAACATTGATGTGTTTATATATCTAGGAGTACTATGAAGTCAGTAAAATTATATATATATATATATATATATATATATATATACACATCACACACACACACACACACACACACACACAAGGCAGTGCTGAAAAGTTCTCAGCCCAACCCACTTCTCAAATTCTGACCAAATCACCATCAGAATTTACAGGGAAATCACTTCTTGGTTAGACCAAGAACTTTCAACACTGTTTGTGTTTTGTAAAAACTTAAACCCACCAGAAAACAGGTGACCAATAAGTGAAAAGTATGAAATAAGAACAAGACAAGATATTTCTAGACATGGAAAGTAGAATAAGAAAAATCTCCCCCTGTGGATTAAAAAAAAGGATTCAGTTTGAAATTCCCTAAAGATAATCAAGATTGACAAATATTTGAAGGAGGCCAGAGAGTACAATGGCTAAAACATTGTGATGACAACATAATATGTAATATAATAATGCTTGCCACTCATATTTGAGTATGCCTGTCTACTAGGATGGCTAGCCAATCCTCTATTGCAGACGCCTGCTCAGGCACATTTCTGTTTGCTCAACATCTACATAGTTCACTTGTAATTTATACAACAACTATGATGAGCAGACCTTAGAGTTTCTGGGATAGAGGGCATTATCTGGTGTGATCAACTGTCTGAACAAAGCAAGTGTACTCAAAACCTCAGTCATGATGACTTGTCACTTCATGCTAACACAATTATTGACACCTCCTAAATAGTTCCATCTACACAATTTCATTCACAGTGGTTTTTCAGGTATCAAAATAATTATTTTCCCATTTTCCACCATCATATTTACATGTGAACAATAAATAATATTGCAGCTACTGAAGAGTCATCCATGTCTATCTGGCTCATAAGAAGGCCAAAAAAAAATTTTCATTTGTCTTCCTGAAAGGAAATGTTGTTATAGATTTTATACAGTGAAACAATATATTTAGAAAAATAAATTCATAAGGAATACATACAGAAACATTTCTAATCTGCTTAAGACACCCTTCAAGATTGTGAACAATTTCAATGTGACTACTACTCATCAAATATGCAATGGCATTATGACGCTGCTGCAAAATTGTTAAATCCCTTAGTGGCCGCAGGAACCAGTTCCTTAAAAGAGAAATTGTTTAAATACAATAAGCAAAATAGAAAACAGAATAAAATAATCTGGATGAACTTACAAATTTTACAAGTGTTAGAAACAGTGAATAAATAAGTATGCATTTGTAGGACAATATATTCTCTATTATGTTGAAGAGTGAAATAGTTGCTAATAACAGCTTTTCATTGATTTTACCTTGATCTGTTAACGTGATCTGTTTTTGTTATATAAAAGTAAATAATAAACAAACCAAAAATGGTTTTCTGAACACAAATATAATAATCAACAACAAATAAGTAATAAATAACAAGTAAAATGTTAACAACACTATAAAATAGCTACAAATACCAACATTTGGATTCACAATTATTTCTACTCAATAGCCTCTAGAATAATTTGAAGTATAACTGTTACTGCCTACCGAATAATCACTAGGATAAGACAGTAGACCTTACTACCCATAATGCACCATTTACCAGCAAATAATCCACACAACACACATGGCCTGAAGATTGTGTTCAAGCATGAAACAGATTGTTGACCTCAATGTCCACTTTTATATTTCTATATATATATTTATTTATGCATATATTCAAAGTACATAATCACTTTAATCTGTCCTATTTTGTGACTTAAAAGAAAAATAATCATGATATATATAATTCTTTTTTTTTGTATTGGTTCTTCTAAGTAAATGAGGAATTAATCTTATGTATTGTCATTGCTGTAACCATTTATCATTTGTCCTTAATCCTCACTATGTGAACTCACTTTTCATCTGCATTTCTACTGGTGGTAAAGCTTTAGAACCATTGTTAATAACTAAAGATGTTTACTCATCATTTTTAATTGACAGTAAAAAATGATGTATAATTAATTTGAAATTACACAAGGATTTCCTCCATTATTATCAGTCATTTCAAACAGCTTTCAATGTTGAAGAATCAAATAGTTGTCTATAAGACAGTCTTTGAATTGTTTTTTCTTGAATCTGCTTCTTTGCCTTGTAGTCTCTTCAAATGCTTATAACATGGCTTTCTATTGTCTTCATTGCTTTACAAACTATTTTCTTATTTGTTTCTTTGGGACAGAGCTTTCCATTTCCTCTCTGTTCAACTTTTTTCCATTAATTTCCGTACATCTTTAAAATAAATAATTCAGCTCACCAGTATGAATAAATCAAGTCAGAATCTTTTGTTTCCGATTCTTTTTTTAATCATTTCACCTCAAGCAAGACAATAATATCACTAAGAGGCAATGGGTTATTGAGTGAAAAAAGAGAACACTATTATGAAAAGAAAATGATTAAAAGAACATAATTAAGAAAACAGATGATGATTGCCATTACATTTAAATTTTTAAAGATCAAAGTTGACTGGAAAGCAAGAAGCCGGAAGAGATTTCCACAAGCGAAAAGTGCGATAGAAAAAATATTAGCACAGAAATTATGGTTACATCTAGTCATTTCATCTCTGAAATGATGAAACCTTACTGCCAATCTATTACTGCACTTAAATTTATAAAGTCTAGGTGCCATAGAAGAAAGTTCATCAGAACAATTACCATGAACATATTTATAGAAAAGGCACAGTGTTACATGTTGATAATTGTAACAAAGGAAAAAAAAAAAGATTTACCACAACACAGAGCTAAATCACAAACAAATATTTAATTTACTAAAACACAACATAAAATATATACAAGATAAACAATTGTCACCTACAAAACAGAAAACACAGAGTTACTGGCGAAGTGTTATGAGGGAGAAGGAAAGGGAGTCAAATATCTTTATCACTTTAGGGCTAGTGAAGTAATCTAAGTGCTATATTTGGAAATCCACAAAGGTGTGTAAATAAATACTAATTTTTAGTTTGGTCAATGAAAATTAGTCTAAATTCTATTTACCAAATTCGTTCCATGAAATTCTCTTTTGGGTTTTTGTTGGTCGGCAACTTTTATAGAGATTCTTTCGGCTGGATATAATAGTCCTTGAATCAAAAGCCAGAGTTGATAACAGCAGAAATTCTTTTCATCAACTGACAACCCTTTTCCAAAATCCCATTTTTATAGGGGCTAACACCTAATTTGCATATTTCAAGATGTTTCTCGAATCATCTAGATTTTTCTCGAATATACTAGAATGATCTAGAATCTTCCAAATATTCTATTTCTAATTTCTCTATTTTAAAACTATTTCATAAATGAAAACTTTTTTGTAATAACAAGTAGGACTCAGTGGAATCCCTTATTATAGAAATGCATCCTCGTAACAACAGGTAAGCTACATCATGGTGATGAGAAAGTAACTCCAGCCAAGATGCCAGGTCAGAACCAGTAACATTGCAGATTCTTCATTGGATTTTATTAAGAATCTCTAAATTAGGTACCTCCAAAGATTTGGGATACCTAAGTTTTAAAATTAATTTTTAAAAAGGAAAAAACTTTATTGAAGCTTTTATCTTAGTTTTAATTTCAAGCTAATAGATTAAATTTACTATTTCCAATAAGCAAAATATTTGCTGTATTTCAAAACTAAGTTAAATTGTTGAGAAGGAGTTTTCATTTTGAAATCAATAACATTCACTGATTTTAGCACCATTTTTAGTCATATGGCATAAGAATGTATTTCTGCTTTTTAAAACATTTTTCAAAAATAAAATAAACTTTTCTGAATCTTTATTTGAGGAACATGAACTGATTTAAAGTAGCATTAAACTAATTTGAAACAAATATTATTTACTTTAAGTTTAAAATATTGCAGAAATGCATTTTTTTAACACAGTAGTAGCTGTTTATTTTAAGTGTTAACAGAGTGACAGCTTGAATGACAGATGGAAGTTTACCTAATATTTTTTAGGGTGGATATATCAGCAAAATTTACTTAAAGAATATAGTGTAAATGCCTTTTTATATAGTTTTTAACTACCCAGTAATCTTAAAAATTTAGGAAAATATTCTCCATAATCTAATGTTTTATTGAATTTTAAGCAATTTGGCTTTAAATTTACTGTAGTTATCACTCTTAGTTTCTGATAATGTTGTGTATGGATGTCTGTATTTACAAAAATCAACATGTATATGCACACTAAACAATTTTAAATTCTTTTTAAAACATTGGTATTCAATGAATTGTACTAAGCATTGCCATTTATGATTAGTAAATATAGTTTTACTTAATAACAATATCATTTAATTTGGACTAAGTAATGTAAAATAAATTATTCTAATTTAATTTTTTTAAAAATGAAAACAATTCTTGTAAAAAGTAATTATTCATCAATTTTTTTTCTTAAGACAATAGTGTACATAATATATCTTATTCATAAAAGCAATTAAAAGCTTTTCTAATTAAATAATGTCTTAGTTTTATTGCATTTTCTATTTAACAATTCAGAGTAGATTTTTGGCTACTGTGTTTCTGTTTTACAAAAAGAAATGATTTAAATTCTCCAATGAATTCTGTTTTTAACTAATACAAACATTAATTGACACAAAATGCAATTTTTCAAACTTTCATGAAAATAAGTAAGTGGGAAGTAATAGATTGAAAAAAATATTTTTCTCAAAATTTTCCCTTATTTGTGAATAAGTCCTGATAGTTTCATTAAAATTTGATAATTATTTGATTTTTGCAAGAATTTCCAAATTAATGTGTTCTTCACTGCAAAAAAAGATGCTAAAATTTCCTATACTAATTTTTGGTCACCAGACTAATAAAAAAAAAAAAAAAAAAAATGATTTCTAACCAATATTTCAAAGGATCAAAAAATATAATAATCAAAAAAATCCTTTAGTCTTTCCTTTAAATAACAAAGACTTTGATGATAAAACTTTGTTTTTATTAAGTTTGGGCCATTTTTTTCATCATGGTATGCTCATTTATAGTGAACCTGTGCAGGTACCTACTCTAAATATACAGCAGGAAAACCGGACCAGATGTGGCAGCAGTATTTGAATCTTTGGGTTTATGATGATCTGGTTTATGATGAGGAAATATAATCTGAAATTATATCTTAAATATGCATTTAAACAACTAAAATGTTTTTATTACTCTTTAGATCAAGTTATTAAATTACTGGGATAAAGGTCACCATGTTTCGATTTAATTGATTATTTTGTATTGGAATAAACAGAGTATAACTTACATTTCAGAAATTACAGATTTTGAATCCAAATGTCGCATTCATAAAGGCCACCCTTATTTTGTTAATTAGCAATAAAAGCTTTCAAGTTTTAAAAAAAATTAACAGTTGTATGCACAAAAAACAATTCTCTTTTAAACCTGCAATTTGGAATGCAGCTTCCTGGAAGTCTTCATATATACAGTGAATTCCCCAAAAGTCTAAGCATGCTATTTTATGCATAAGACATTTTGGTACTTTTTGTATAGAAAAAGGAAAATAGCTGTTTGGATTGATAAAAGAAATCAGAATTTTACTAACTTTTAACTAAAAAAAACAACATATTTGTCATTTACTCCAATTTGTGGTTTATATCAATAAAATTCCTGTCTGTCAAGTTTACAAAGTTTCCCAAAATAGATGAAATATTGTAAATTCATTTAAGTTTTCAAAATTGAAAAAAAAAATCAGCAGAAAATTACTTTTTTTTACGTCATTTCTGTGGTTGACTTCAAGTAGTTTACACCTAACACTAAGCATTTTGCATACTACTTTTTATTTCATATTAAAAACACCATAAACATGCTTACAAGCAATAAAATCGTTCACTTTGAAACGTGAATGATTTTATTAGCTGAGAATTAATAAAAATACTCAATAGGCACACAAGCTAAAAGTCTGTAGTTTCTTCAAACTGTAATTTAAATATGATGGGTTTATTCATTACACCAAATGAAATGTAGAACAAAACAAATAAAAATAAAATTGATCTTTTTTAACCTACTTAGGCACTTTATTATGAATTAATAAAAAAAGCAATTTCACCTTTCATGACCAAATCTTTTACTGGTGAATACCAAAGTAATAAATATTTAATTAGTAGATTTCATTCAGGTACATTTTACTTTAAGAAACAAAAAGCATCTGAACATTTAAAGAAGATTTAAACAGAGATTGAAACATTAAACATTCATATTAATCTTTTAAATACCATGTGACTTCTGAATATAAGAAATCATGGCTTCTCATAGATTCCTTTATCTTTTAATTGACTGAATTGACATGACTTTTTAGGAAAAGTAGTAGAAGGGTTCCTCTATTGTCTTCTACACAGTTTTGATTTCAGGATATAAATTCTACTAGACTAGCTGTCATCCAGGGTGATAGAGCCCAGTCTACCCAGCTATTTAATCCACAGTTTGGGGAGAGGAGATTTTATGCTAATATTCTCCCAATACAAGGCCCAAGAGCCACTCAAGGTAGAGGGATACTGTTTGTTCTATGAGAGTAAGAAAGAGCAAGAAGAGATGTTCATGGGTATAGGTAGAAAATATTTGAAGAAGTTAAGAACGTAGTGATTGAGAGTCTGTTCCACAAAGTAGCATTTATTGGGAAGAAGCTGTTCAAATGGAACTGACTTCTTACTAATGGGATACAAAGGGAATGGGGATGATTCATCCTTGTGGACGTGGCATGGCAGGTTCCAATTGTAATGGTCCGGAGTATTGGGATTAAGGAATGTAACTCATGAGAACACATGGCACGGAAATAGCAATAAAGCAGAAAGAGGCTCACATCATTTTGTTTTGGGGTGGGGGAAGGGATTGGAGGGTGGAAAATAATTTGTCCCCAACAATGCCACACAGCTGCTTTTGATAGGCTTGGCAGATTGGGCAGCTACAGCCCAGAGATGGATTCATACCTTTCCCAAGCAAGTTAGTGTGAAAGTGAATGCAACAGTCTAAAGGGACATTTGAACTAAGCTGACCTTATCAATACTCTATGCCAATAAACTTTATTCCACTCACATGTTTATGTGGTAACAAAACTGTGAAAAATATTCCAGTAACCACAGACCTCAGTACTTTCTCTCTTCATATCCCCTCTCCATTGGTGATTGCTAATTTTGGTAGACACATGCATTATCCTAATGCATATATGCATCAAAGTTTTATATGGAAAATTGTATTTCTAGAATATTCATTGAGAATCAAATAAATTAGATTTGCAGAAATAACCAAGAAGCCAGTGTCTTAACAAGAGATGATTGATTTTGAAATGAATAAACAGGTCATATATTTATCATGGAAACAGTAAATATTGTATACTCATTACCACCTTTGACAGTAGAACCATATCTTTCTTTTCTCTTTTTATTGTCATATCTATGCCAATGGTGATGCTAGCTTACCACAGACCTTTTAACAAAATCTTTTGTAATAATTTTGTCAATTTAGAAGTGCCTACAGAGAATTAAATTTTAAAAATCTTAAGCAATATTTCAAGAATCCAACCTGTCTTGTTTTCTCTCATTGTATCATTCTTATAATAAATTTTACTTGTTTATTGTACACATTCTCAAAGTGACATATCCACACAACTATTTTTTTTAATACCTATACACATGGCCCAGTGGATAAAAGCATTGGTTGAAATAATCCAGTGACTTGAGTCAAAGAGTTGTGAGTTCAATAGCAGGCAACAGCAGAGGTGAACAAAAAAACTTGGAAAGTTGAGTTATTAAAGGGAAATAACTGAAACTGAGATATCCAGAAAAGGCATGGCACGTGGAAATAGAACAATCTACCCCCATGAATGAAATAAAGGGTTTTGTCCAAAATTCCAGCATATATCACCTAAAGAAGGCTGGAGCGTACAACAGTCAAAAGTGAATATGACAATAAAGATGAGGACAAAGTAAAGAATGTAAATATTTTTATTAATAAATAAGATACCTTTCAGGTACTGTTTTTTAATTCCCCGTCAAAATAAAACGATTTCTATAACATGATTTATGGCCCCATTTGATATGTTGGTAAACTTAAGCTTAAAATTAAAATAATATACAAACCTGAGTAGTTTACTTCCTATTTGAGATTTACACCTGTTTAGAATCCCTGTAATAAACAAAAACATTTGATTTTTGAAAAAATAAAATAAAAATTCAAGTAAATTATAAAATCACAAAAATAAAACATTTTCTAAGTAAAATGTATCCTGTTGTTTGATCCAAGCATAAGACAGTCTCTCTTGATTGTAATCTCAGAAATGAACAATTATAATAAAGTCGTTCATACAGAAATACAAACCAAGAAACTTCAAAATAATTACAAAAGTAAAAACATATGCTAAATTATTGAAACTAAAAAAATGATGAAAAGACAAGCCTAATAATTAACTGAATAAAACTAAAAAGTGAGATTACAATTTTCCTTTGTCTTGGGCATGTACATTGGCTTGCAAAAGTCTACACCCCCTTTGAAAATTTATGTATTTTGTATAATTTAACAGGGAACAAAACATTTTTCTAGGTTATATGATTTTAAGAATCGGTGTGTAATTTTTAAAATGTAATTTTTATATTATTTACATTATTCGGACTATTGTCCTCATCTTTGTCGCCATATTTATCACATTTTGGCCATTGTATGCTTCGGCCTTCTTCAGGTGGTTGGAATTTCAAACTGAACCCTCAAGGACACATGGCACAGTGGATAAAGGCGTTGGTTAGATCCAGTGACAGGACCCAAAGAGTGTGAGTTCAATACCTGGTTTCAGAGGGAAATTAGCAGGAGATAACTGATAACTGACATCCGTTAGACATGGCACATGAAACTAGAACAGTCTACCCCAGTGAGCGAAATAAAGGGTTCAGTTCGAAATTCCACTAGTCCGAATAAAGTAAATAATGTACATAATATCTCATCTCAGAAATATAGACAGACTGTAATTTTTATATCAAAGGAAAGTGTGATGGATCTGCTTCTTATTTAACAATCATTGGAATTGAAAAAATGTGTTGTTCCCTGTTAAATTATACAAAATATATAAATTTTAAAGGGGGTGTAGACTTTTGCAAGCCACTGTAGGTTCCGTGAATTAGTCAAGCAAATCACTATTAAGCAGTAATGAGTTGAGCTTTTGAACACTTTGACTCTTTATGACAGGCATAATGAAAACAAATTTTTACAACCTCTTTTTCTAGTCAATTCCTAATAGCCAGGGGCTTTATTTGGGCAGAATGGTGTCTGCAAATATTTAAAATTCTTTGGTTTTATTCAATAAAGAACACAGAAATGTACATGACACATGATTGATATTGTTATCTAATGCATTCTGATTGTCAAGACTTGATCCAGAATTTCTGACATTACTTGTTGGGAGAAAATCTCAAAAGTGACACTGTCAATCTTTTTGTCATTAAAAAACAAAATAAATAGGATTTGTATCAAGGAGTCTCACTTCTTGCACAATTGCATCATGACATTTGATATCAGAAAAAGACAGTTCCAGGTGAGGACAACCAATATGGAATCGAGCATCTACTAATTTTGATCAGCATTGGAGATTAAGTAACCATTCATGTGAAGTAGCATGAGTCGTGGTTGTCAACATAGAGCATATCGAATGCAATGCATCCTGTCTGACAAGTTTCCAATGACTCATAGGTAAGAATAATGAATTGAATGCAAGGGTTATTGGCTGCAGTATAATTTCATTATAAAATTCACAACGCCCATAGACTTGGGAATTTTAAGGCATGGTCTGGATAACAGAAATTCCATGGTGAAAAAAAAAGTTTCTCACATTGAATGACATGAATGAAATACTTGTGCTTGACTGTATAAATTCAGATCATCCAAAGACAACAAATAAAGCACAGCATGATTATTTGTGATGTCCTATCTGGATAAAGTATTAATTAGTTGAAGTTGATAGCAAGTGACTTTTAAAACAAAACCGAGTTTCTCAAATGTGTAATAGCTTTGATCCAATGTGATTTGTCATGATGAAACTTGTTTGCACTCAGTGCAAATGAGGTATGAGGTCAACTCTTTTTTTTTTTACATTCTCAACAGAGAGTTCTTTGTTTTAATAAAGTCTAGCATTTGCATGATGCCTGCTAGACAAAGAGTTGTATTGTTAAATTAGCATACCAAAGCCAAAAACTTGATGATAGGCAGATTTCAAGTCAGTTATACTAAAAAAGAATCAATTTTTTGGTATACTGATACTTCACCAATCCTTGATTGCAAGTAAGCATCTAAAGTATGAAATAGTTCAAAATCTGAGAGTAATCAACTAACATTCTTTTTTGTCTCACTCAGTAGTGGTCATTAAAACTTGAGCTAAACAAGGGGAAATACTTGGCTCAATTAGTCACTTCACTTCAGTTGCAATAAAGTGTTTATCTTGAGAACAATATCTCCTTGACTTGTAACTATTGGGCTGCAATCCCTTTTGTAAGATTAGTAAAAAGTCCAAAAGAGGAAATAGCAAATGTAGTCAATCCACACACACACACATTTAATGAAAGTTCCTCTTCACCAAAATTTACACATATTCTCTATAGTGTTGCCTCATAAAGTCCTGCATGACATCAGCACAGACATTTTCAGATTCTCGTATTATCTCCCCTCAGCTTTACATTCCTCAAACGCTATCTACAAGTTTTAGTGATTAATGGTGAATGTGCAAATGTAGCTTCTGAACAAGTATCCTCTCTGTACTGCCTGTATCCATAAGTACTTTGACTCTTGTCCTCATGGCCTACTAATATTTACAGCCCCACATGTCACATTTCAGGCTAATTTCTAACAGGCCTATTTGATTTATAATCAATTTATGTCTGTTTTATCTAAAACATGTTAAAACCATCCAAAAATAAACAGATAGTAATAATAAAAGATTGTAAACAAACAAAAAACGTTATTAAAGAATTCAGTAGTAATACAAAACAAATACAATTAAAAAAACTTATCAGCAGTTCCTTCATAAATCAATTTTCTTTTGACCTTTGCCCTTTTTAAAACAATCTACAATATTTTTTTGAACTTCATCTGATGAAAACTTTTGTTTGTTGTAAAATATGCTCACAACATTTTTTTCCTGAAAAGTGAATTCCTTTTTCAGTGTATTGTTTACAATTAAAAACACATTTTGTAGAATAAGTTTCCAAAATTCTTTCAGAAGACTCTCTTGTAGTGGATTCATTATGTTTTACACTAAATTTATCTGCATAGTCAAGTATAGCAAAACAAGTACAAACTCTGCCATTTGGTTAGATGGAACCATAAGACCTCCTCAAGAAAGTAAGTTAAAGTACTTCTCTGTAGCATCACCAATTCATCATTGTCTATTATGACCAGAGAACACATTTCACATTGAAAAGGTTTAATTCATTTTAGTAGTAGTTTAGAACATTTTCTAACATGCTAAATCTTATGAGTTTAGTATTATGGTAATGGTATAGGAGTTCCATCACCCTGTAGTGAACGTGAAGGTTTTGATCATTGTGAATACATTCTTTTATGGATGGAAAATGTGTTTCATGGTGAGAGACTATTCTATAAATTAGAATCCCTCTTTTTTTTTTAATTCAAAACCTTTAGAACAACACAGCTTCTTCCACCTTATCGTATCAGCTGAAATAAAATCATGTAATTTATCAGTCTGGTCCAGTCATTGTTTTGGAGACTTTCTGAATTCCCTTGTATTTGGCAAAAGAGACAGGTTATTTTATTTTTTCTGAATGTATTGTAGTTATTGGATGTAAATCCCAATTCAGTTTCTTTCATTTTCCTTTCAAAATAAATTTCTCTTTAAAATGTTTCATACAGAGAAGTTTAATTTTTTGTAGGAAACCAGTCATTACAATTAACAAATTTTATCCATTTTTCTACGAGGTAGGATTTTCCAAGAGGAAAAGAAAATGTCAATATTTTTTCAGTTAGTAACATGTCCACTAGGACAACCAAATGCAAAACATTTGTTTACCATTTTTGTTAAACAAAATATCACAACAAACTTTATAATTTAATCTTTAAATGCAATGGACTATGAGGTAGAAAATTTACTTAATAGCGTTCACTTGTGAAATAGGCCATACACACAATTGAAAATCATAAAAGCAAGATAACTCACAGCCATTTATAATATGCGTATTAGTAAAAAAAAAAAGGTGTAAACATTTATTTTAGTACTGAAAACATGTCTAGGGAATTGAAATAGTATCTGATAAATTCTATGTAATTGTATGTTGTTAATTTACATTCTAAGAATTCAATTTTTAAAGTTACCTCCCTTTTAGTTCAGCAATTTTCTAAGTCGCCATTCCCTTTTTAATTTTTTTTACATTGCATCAACCTGTTAGAATTCAGCTTGATATATGACATGTGGGGTCGTATCATACTAGTTGGACATGTCTTGTACCATTTAATTAGTAGAAGCAGAACGTAAAATTTCTGAGGTAACTAATGCACAGCAAAAGTTGGAAACTGACATGCAGTACATAAACCTTTAACAAAATGTTCTTTTTACATCTCTTTTCTTTTTAACCATTTCCCTCCAAGCAAGGTAGTAATGCCACTAGAATACAGGAGTTTACAGGGAGTGAAAAAGAATGAGAAGATGGGGAATAGGGAGGATTGAGAGAAGGACAAGGGTTCTAGATAGAACATTGTGATTGACATTGTATACAGATTTTTGAAGATTGTAGTTATCAGGGAAGCAAGAAAACAAAAGGGAGTTTGACGAGTGAGAAAATAAACTGTTGGAGTAGAAGTGGCAGTTGAATTTTGCTATTTCAACAGTAAAACATTTGGCCCTAGTTGTCAAACTAGTAGCATGCTTAAATTCATGTAGTCACAGCCTCAAGTAGCATCAAGTTTGTCAGAGCAATTGCCATGAAAATATTTGTAGAAAAAACAGAGAGAAGCCACATTAGTGAGAAAGTGACTGAAGTTGAAATGCCTGGTCAGGAATGATGACATTACAAATACTGAATTTTGTCAAGAATCTAGAGATGTACAGCAGGAACACCAGACCAGCATCATCAAACATTACAATGCACTGTCTTTCGCAAAAGAAGCAGAAGGATAGATAAATAGATGGACAATTTATACATTAAAAATTTACAGATTCAAGAAGGAGGTAAATTGCAAACTATACAAATTAAAATTTCGACTAAAATTCAAGGTGGAATTTAGTGTAAAATACAAGATTAAGAAAACTCAAACTAAAATTCAAAAAGCCTCTGAGAGCCTCTGAACAAATCGTGGTTCAGCATTTCAAGTTCAGTATTGTCTTAGAATATCATCCCAGATAATTTATTTTCAAAATTCTGAAAGTTTGGATATATCCACGCACTTGGTTATTTTCTTATGTATAACTTTTTATGCTGGACAGTTTCAGTAAATAAAGCTCTCATTCTTTTTTTCTACACATTGCACCACTGAAATATTCTCAAACACAGAATGAACAATAGAGAAAAAAATGTGTAGATCAATGGTTAGAAAAAAATTGTTGAATTTTGGATATGACTGCATCAATTTCTTAGTAGCATAACTTGAATTGGGACTGGTTTTAAACTTTTTCATTTTCAACAATTTATCCAGTGGATCAAAATCAATATTTATTTTGTGATTACATTAAAATCAAACCTGAATGTATTTTTTAGGTTTTATGCAACAAAAGGAAATATATGTAACAGGCAGATTGATGCCAGGTGCTCTCAATATTTACTAATCTTGTCTTTGTCTAAGATTAAATCATACTAGTGGCAATACCCAATGAGGATAGACCTCACTACACTATTAAGATGTCTACAAATGTAGCTTGCTAATCATTGATTGTTGGATGACACTCTCGAAATTTACTTATCTTGACTTGGCACAAAGCTTTCACTGTGGACCACCCAAGAGGAATTTTGCTACACTATTGATTAATCAGTGAAACGTGTTAGCAAACCTTTTTGATAATCACTAAGTTTACAGTAAAACAAGACTAAAATAATTGAACAATAGGTTTCTCAAGTCCAGTAACTGTTATCATTCTTTCCAGTATTGATGACGGCTTCCTTACTAACCTTTTATTTGAAGTAATATTAACTGTTTCCTTACACGGAAACATTTGTCATTCATTGACAGAGTAGCCAATACTACTTTCAGTTGAAATTCATAAAATCTTTCTCTCCAAATAATTTTTCAGGCAAATAGGTTTCTCAAGTCCAGTAGCTGTTATTGTACTTTCAAGTACTGATGGGGAAGGGGGTTCCTTCCTAATCTTTTATTTGAAGTAGTGTGAAATGTCAACATCTTGGTTATGTCATTATTTTCTCTTCAAGCTACATGTACTCTTCATTTTAGTTGTTGAAAGGCCTCAAGTGTTGTGCTTTCTTTTATTTGGTACAGTTTTTGCTTGTGATTCTGTATCCCCAACCCATAATGTTCAAAGAAGCATGGCCCTCACTAATGTTATACTTCATTGCAATAAGATCTCTTTCTGATTCATTCTGCATGTTGGCTGTATGTCAACACCAGGCAGACAAAACACAAAATAAAACTGTTGTTTTCTGCACATAGGCTTCAAGCAGCAAGTCTAGTCCAAAAAGCAAACCCCTGCAATGAAAGTGACACAGTGGCTAATTATGAACTACAGAAAGGGAAATGTCTCTGAGGACTGCCAGATCTGTATAAAAGCAGGCCTCCCATAACAAGCACTAGCAGTTGCAGGCCATCAGGCTACCTACCGACACACAGGATGCTGCCACTGTCACCATCAACAACCGCTCCTCTCAACACCACCATTACCACTCCAAGGCTTGACTAATCTCACCTGACTCTTTACACACAGAAACCAACAATGCTTTGACTCTGCCAGGCTCCTGACACCCACCAACATTATTTAGAACATCACACATGGAATTCAACAGAGACTAGCTTTAATCCCACTAGGCTCCTGATGCCTAACTACCACAATTTATAACATCTCAAAATTGACACCACCCAACTACAAGCCTTCCTCATTGCCAACACCATCACTTTGGTAACCCAACTCACTACAGGTATACCCTTGCAGTGAGACATTCCACCACAGGCCTACCAGCTACACTAATCCCTCATCACCTCAGTTACCAACGCACCCTACCACAAATTGGCTCACCACCATGACCTCAATTGATCAACACATGCATCAGACCCAACTAACAACTATATGCTGTAACTTCAGTCAAACCAACCCCAGAAATTGGTCAACTCTCAGCACTACCCTTACTCTTAATTGCTTTCCTGATGATCAGAAACTGAAATATATATTTCATCCAATTTTCCAATAACTGTAATATATTTTGTATATTAAATGAATGCACGTTGCTTAAAAACCTAATCCTTGTTATTCCTTTCCTCTTGCAACCAAATGCTTGTTATAACACCAAGATCCACAGGCTTCACTCATTCAAAGTCACATTATATTTTTATGTTCAGTTTCCTCATCTCTTATACTAAATTTGTTATAACTGATCTATACAACAATTGAAGTGTTTAGTATTTACTAAATCCACTTCTTGAATTTTTATGAAGGATTCAGAGTAGGTACCATCACTACATTCATTCCAATTCCAGATGATAGTTTCTCTTTTGAAAAGGTTTATCCTGAGTCCTATTTCTTAGAATGCTTGGCAGATTATTTTCTCAAGATCATTCTTGTCCCAATTATGAATAACGGATGTCATTGGCATAGCTCCCCACATCATCATCATCAATGCATAACATCTATTCATAATTATTACAACATTCTCCCTTTTTACTATAACTACTTTCCACTGTCAGACAAGTACTTTTTTCTGTGCAAACATAAGAAAGAAAGAAATACTAATGATGAATGAACATAGAAGAAGAAAAAAAGCAAAATGTTTACCAAACAGACTGAGTCCTTCTTTGGAAGAATTAAGACCAGACTTGTAGACTGATGGATGACTTTCTTGTTGGAAGATCTGCAGAGCACTACAAGACAAAAAAAATCAAACAAGAAAAGTGAATAAAGAGGAAACTAAAAATGAAGCATGGCCAATGGAATCAGTCATTAGTGATTTCTGTTACACATGGTTTCATGTTAATTGCATGTCTGTGATGAGAGTGAATAAAAGATTTCTCTGTCGTCCTTGGCAGACAATTTTTCAATACAGTTACAGAATTAAAGATTTTCAGGCAGCCATCATTTGTGCACAATGAATCCATGGTAATGGCAACTGGTAATTATATGTTTACTGGATCAGGATTACAAAAATACTCTATGCCTGAATTGGCTGTTTCCCTGAAATTAGATTCATCAAATCTGGTCATGTGTCAAGTGTCCTTGTTCTTAAAGCCAGAAATAAAATTATAAAAATACTATTTCGTTTTTTTTTGTTTTGTTTTCATGACAAAATAATGATTTTCTATTTTTTTTTTTTTAAATGATAAAATTGATCAAAAAGAAATATTTGTTTGTTTTGTTTCCTTTCCAAACGTGTAATTATCTTCCAAAATTATACATTTAACATGTGTATTTAAAAGCTTTAATTAAGGAAATTCATTTCTAACAAGAAATTAGTAAATTTTTGTATGGCTCAATGAGTATGCAAAAGCTGATATCAAAATATTTTGAGGTTTCATCTCTAGTGTTGATTTATTGAGGCATATTTCCAAATCAAGTTTAAAACTCATTTTCCTGTAATACCTAGACTTTTTGAATTTAAGCGCAAATACTAGACTGGCATTGAGATCTCATCAATTTACAGCTGACTAGATATAACCATAACTTCTATACTAACAGAGTTTCTTTTCTTGTACTTCTTACTTGTAGAACTCCCTTTCAGCTCCATACTTTCCAACTAAAATTAATCTGCAAAAGTTTAAATGCAATTTCAATCTACTGTCCTCTTGATTATTATTTCGGCTCATTAGTAATGTTTCTGTTCCTAATTCTTCCACACATCCCAGGGATTCATTGTGTCTTAGTAGCTTTATTGCCTTGCATGGGGTGATACTGATTAAAAGAAATACTCAGCATCAAGTTCTATTAAACTTAAAAATGGACAATATTTTTTAAATTATTTAAATGATAACTTAGTAAGTTATAGACAAGTGTCATTGGTGCCAGATTAAAGCATGGATTTTATGAACAGCAGCCTATAAATTCCAATAGCTGGAGGACCACCAGAGATTAAGAGGTAACATATTTCATTTGAAAAATATTCATTTTAATAAGGGTTCATTTAATATATCTGAAATGTGGAGTTATCATCATTTACATGAAGACTAGTGTCTTCATCTTTGTTATTGTTACATTGTTTCAGGCATTGTGCTCTTTGGCCTTCATCAGGTGCATGGTGATCCAGGTAAACTTCATAGAATCAGGGAGAGATTATTGACCTTGTACAGGGATATCTCATCTAGTTCATTTTTTCCCTTTTGAAACAATTACTGGGGGTGATATAGTATTTAAGGTTTACAAAATTTTAATCCAGCTCTGATTGTCTCACTCATCATCGACACTCACTAGTGTTAAAGCATCAGGATCATCATCTTCTCACCTTATTCCTTTTCTCCCCCTTCTGGTGGCAGTGACTCCTGAAGAACCATGAGCAGGAGTCACAAAGGAATGTGGGTTGCAGATGCAGCTGTGTGAGTCAGGCCCTCCTGACAGCATGTTGCAGATCCTCTTTATGCTGACAGTTGGACTCAAAAGTCCCACCTCATTGCATTTGACTGGCTCACTGCATTTGAGTTCATTATCATAAAATATGGAAACCAAGAATTTACATCAACTATCTTAGCATGTTCATTAAATGTGAACTGAAATAACTATTAACAGCCTTTAAGATCTTTATAAAGAAATAAATGCAATTATTTTCTGGGGAAGAATCTGTTATCAGGTGAGAATTAAAAAACAAAAAAAAATCAGTTTATTGTTCTCATTATTGTAATAGAAAGCAAACATTACCACATATATAGGGAAAAATAACCATTAAACACGTGCCTAAAAAAATGCAAAATTATATCTTTTAATTATAGCACCTGTTATACATTACCAAGTGTCAGTCAATCAAATATAAAGTGGGGTTGTAATTCAATACACACCACAAAAAGGATTAAATGCATATACCATCATATAAAGTATATACTTCAAAATTATACCATATATAGGTTTTGTTTCTACAGTAGTAAATACAAGCAAAAAATTCAACAAACATATAAAATAATATTTAAAAAAGATAAAAATATAGGCATTCAGTACCCATTCATAAAAGGATTAAATTAATATTGCTGGAGATTTTACATTTCTGGTTGGTTGCTTCTAAACAGTTATAAGTATTTTTTTAGGAAAGCCTAACATTAATGGAACAATAGCACGATTAAATGTAGATAACTGCTGTTATTACAGCAAACAATTATCATGTAGAAAACTAAGGAACATTGTACAAATGTCAGAGATATCGTAGTCAGTCCTCTGCATAAATATAAAGGTTTACTGAATGATCAGTAAAGAGATGCAACTTCATCCATGCATCACTGATTTGATATTTCACAAGTGGAAAGAACTTGGTTAAACAGTGAACTGTCCTAAATCTGGTGCCCCTTGAAAAATTTCCAGCTGTGCTGCAAGAATGGTAAAGAAGCTGCCAAAAGAGTTGGCAGAAGATTTCCACGCATCAGAGACAACAGTTACACTTTCAAGCAGTCAGCAATTAATTTCTCCTTATACATAGTATATCTAAAGTATCTATAATATTTAGGTCAAGTTTTAGGTTAGTAATGCTAATAAAAATTATCATTTTCTTAAAATAACCTTTGTGTCAAATACTTTTGTGAACTGCTGTATATAAGAAATTGTGTTAATGTTAGTCTAAGTACAAGAAGATAAGCATTATTCACAAGACTAGGAAGTAATAAAAATAGTAACACTAGCTATTAAATGTGGAATGTAATGTTTTAACTGTAAAATCTTGACATACATTTGGTTTGAGCAAATTTCAACACTCACTCTGCATATTATGTATTGATTTTCTGGCAATCAAGAACTAAATGAACCATTACTAATAGAATAAGATTACTACACACATAGTTACAGATAATACTAGACATGTATATAAAAAATTATGAATGAAAAAAATGGCAAAATTTATATGTGAGCTTTCATGTATGGAAGGCTAATCAGTTTTAAATAGAAAGCTGAAGACATCATTAAAACATGATTCAATCATTTTCAGTAAAATTAAATTCAATACTATTTTCTACATTTTCTGGCATACAAGGTGCTGTTATTTTTCCCCCAAGAACATTTTTGGTCTACTGTACATGATAACTCATTCAATGCTATAAAGCCCAATCCTTTTGGTCTCCTATACATAATGCCAGCAAAGTGGATTATGTTTAATATTTGATGTATATATATATATATATATCTATATTAAGTGCATTTTATTTGCAAGCAAATACAGCAATATTAGAAAGACAATAATGCTGTAAAATTTGATTTCCAACAGCCTAAAAAAGAAAACCACCTTTAGTAGGACAATTTTATGAATTGGTGTTCTATATTTATATCTATTTTTCTTCTTCTAAGCACAATAGACATTTGGCTAAGGAGGTTTCAATGATCTCTTCACACAAGAGGGACACAATCAATTCTGCCAACATTCTTGAGGACAATGAGTGAACAGAGAAATCATTGGTTTCCATTAATGGTTAACAATGAGCAAATTCTTGAACTGAAGATTTGTATATTGAATCTCAAGATAGTTTGTTTGGACTTGGCATTATGGGACACTGATGAAATGAAATCATAAATCCCTTCCATGGAAAGATCCTTGAGTATTCACGATTCAAATATTTGTTACATGCACCATATATCAATAAATGGAGCACTCCACATGTTAAAATTCCTATCTTCATTTTCTAAAAAAAGCTTATATTCTCTTCAGGGTAGAACCAGCTTTTTCTTCTTTTTCTTCTTTTTTGATTTTGTACTTGAATTATATGAACAAAACCTAAATTTTGTAATATAGGTTCACAGCTGCCTGGAAGGCAGAGATAGAGAAATAAGTTTTATTCTTTACTTTTTCATTGGACATTTGCAATGATTTATAAAACTGGTGTAGTGATGGCAGTGTTGGTGGAGAGAGGTTAACGGGTATTGACAGCAGGATGTGTGTGTGTATGTGGGGGGGTGTCTGGTCACAAATAATAAAACCATGATAGCTTTATTTAGAAATTAATATATTGTCATAAAAGTAGTTATAATAAGTTGATGTGAATGTAGATGATGGTAAAACAATGATATGGTAGGTAGTTAAGGAGCTCTTACATATGCAAGCCCAGTTTTCTTTGCATGAAATGCAGACCACAACCCAATATTTTGCTACTATAGGTATATAGCCAAATTAAAAAGAGAGACTTAGCAATTTTGAAGGGATCAAATTCAGCAGCAGACAATGATTGCAGTGTATACAACACAGATTCAAATAGCGAATTATTCACTTTATATATATATATATATATATATAAAATATATTTTGTATATATAAAATTCCCAGCACCTGCCTGCCATGCACATGCATAGTCCTATCAACAAAATTAGTCCGATGAATTGATATTGAGGTTTCACCTGTTTTTTTGTGATAATATTACAGTCGATAGGAGAAACCTCAAGGAATGCAAATAAAAGATTATATGAACACAAAAGGGACATTTTACAAAATAATACATGAAATGCATTGGTTTCCTACCATAATGAGACTGATCACAACTTTGACATAAATGTCTAGAGAGTGCCTTAATCGCAAGGTCATGCATAGTAAATTTGTGCTCTGGCTCTTTACCATTCCTGACAAATCTTGTAATATCACAGTGTGGAATACTTACGTACAAAAGTGATGAAAGCAAAAAGGAAAAGATTCTAAATGAATTCGTCTGAAAAAAAAAATTGTAAAATTTCCAGTACCCCTCGACTATATGCACAA